TTAATAACGTGGGTGGAAAATTAAGGCACCTCATAAAGGGTTTGAAGTAACAAGGGAACAGATCACATCAGCTTGGAAAGGTTAAAGAAAGCAATTTATAGACACTAATTAGGGCCTCTTTTAAAAGTGCCTTTGCAAATGACAAGGTTGGGTTTATTCCAGAGAGGTGCAAAGGGAGCATGGTCAGGGATGCTCCCAGAAGGTACATGAACCATGCTGGGCACCACAGCACAGGAACAGGAGGTTTGGGATGGCACAAAGGGAAGGAGAAGGGATGTGTTGATAGGAAAAAGTTGTTTTCTCCCCAGGGAAATCTTCCCCACACAGTGAGCTCCAAGCTCATGCCCTCTGCTCTGTCACTGTTTCACCGAATGCCAAGTCCAAGGTCACCAAAGCTGAGCTTTCCTTCACCTTCAGGCTCACCAGCCATGAGGATCTGCACGGTTAAACTGCAGAAAGAGGTTAACTGTGCAGATCCTCATGGATCTGCTGCTTTATGCAACACTCTGGCTCTGATAAGGTTTTGCTTGCAGGATGGAGTGCCAGGAGGTGGGAGCTCAAGGACTCTGCAGCGGGTGCCTGTGGGAGGCAGCTCTCACCCAAAAGCAGGAGAAACCAGGGCATCTCTGGTGCTGCTGGAAGGTGAATCCATCCTTGGGTTGATGGCTCCTTGAAGGAGCCCAGCTCACCCTGAAGCCAATGCCAGCACCTGCAGTTTGTGTCATTCAAGCAGGAGCTCCCACCACAAACAGCCCAGGTGTGCAAAGGGAGCTCCAGACAGCAAATGCCACAGGTTTGTACAAGGAGCCACTTTACCCACCTCTGGGATCTGTGTTTTTTTCAGTTTACAGAACACCAGCTCATCTCCCCGTGCTCTGGGGCTATTTTAGAAAAGCTCAGTGATGTAGAAAGACCTGGACATGACAGCCCCGGCTGCTTTTGGGGCCGAGGTGCTGCCCTGGGAACGGCAGGACCAGCCTCCTCTCCGTGGTTTCAGTCCGTCACCTCACACAGCAGCCTCAAAGGGCCACAGCCCTCAGCAATTCCTTATCTTCTCAAATCCTTTGCCATCACTCATAAAGCATTCCTTTATTGCATTATAAAGCAACTCTGCAGCCACTGGAACAGCCCAGAGGCTGCATCCAGCACCACACCCCCTGGAAGCTCTGTGTGGGTTGGGGGTCCTCCCTTTGCAACCAGCTGGGATTGAGCCCAGAGCTGGGTGAGGATGGAGCATATTCCCAGTGAAATGGAGATGGTGTGGGATGCAGAGGGGCACAGACCAGGTCTGGTCTGGCAGCTGGGAGTGCCCTGGGCTCCCACCTCAGGCTCACCCAGGAGCTGTCTGGAGCTCTCCCAAACTGAAGGCCCAGGCAGCCCCCTGGGGCACTGCTGCCCTCACTCTGGGGTCACCCACTGTCACCTCGCTGTCCCCAGCCTGGCTGCCTGCTCACATCTGCCACCAGCGTGTTTGCAGCGTGCTCCCTGCCCCTCTTCTGCCAGCAGACATCCAAGGGAGCTTTTAATAGCAGCTTGTTTGTAAAGCTGGGATGTTTTGACAGATCTGTTGCAGAGGATCAGAGGAACAGGCAGACAGGAGCCACCAGCCCTTCTCAGCTCCTGCCCACGCTGATGGTCTGCAGGAGCTCCTGCCTTCAGTCCTGCCTGGCCACCACACTGAGAGCATGGAGCCACAGAACAGCTGAAGCTGGAAAAGCCCTCCAGGACCCGAGTCCAGCCATTCTCCCAGCACTGCCAAGGCCACCACTGAGCCATGGCCCCAGGTGCCACATGGATGCATCTTTGACATCCCTCCAGGGATGGTTACTGCACTGGGCAGCCTGTGCCAGGGCTGGACAATACTTTGGGTGAAGAAATCTTTCCCAATTACCAATCTCAACCTACCCCTTGAGGCCATTTCCTCTTGCCTTTCATATGTCACCTGGAACACAGCAGGTCTCTCAATTATACCTGGGCAAGAGGCAGGCAAAGGAAAGAAAGAAAAGAAAGAAGCATATCCAGGACCTCAGGACCCCTGAAGAGCAGGGCTGGGTTCTGCACCCACCAGCTCCATCCTACAGCACTCAGCTGCCACCCCAGGAGGTGTCATACACACCACAGCCTCAGACACCATATGGACAAAGAGCCAACCCAGCACCCAACTCCACTTTCTGCTCCCCAATTCCACTGCACAGCACCCACCACCATCCCCTCTCCCACTTTGGGGGTGAGAATGACAAAAATGAGCAGAGAAGCCACAAGGGATGGGAATGGCACAGCCACCCAGAGGTGCCACGTGCCAGCTGCGCCCCCAGCTCCAACCCTCCTCACTCTGACTTATCAACTCCCTCATCATTTACATTTCACCTCCCCCTCCACATCCCACATGGAAACAAAAGATGATTCATATATCAAAATAATCACCTGGGACCTCCAAAAGCCCACGAGTTTCCACACTTTCTTGACAAAGAATTCTGCCAGTTTGGCACCTGGGTTTGACTCTGTCCCCTCCTCCCTTTATACTGGTCCCACACCACAGAGGGGGCACAGAACCTGCCCACACACTATGTTTAGGATATAAATTAATTGAGAACAAAACTAATTCACTGTAAAAACTTGAGGCATCTGAAAAATCCAGCTATTTGGGAAGCACCTGTGCCCTGGCAATACTGTCCCTTGTCCTCTCATAGGGTGAGGAAATTGATTTTCTGTCAGAGGGAAGTGGCTGTGTAACATTTGGGTTTTATCACCAGCATCACCTTGAAAAGAGCAGCTGCTGGTTCAAGCCCACAACCTGGGCTTGCCCACAGGAAGAGGTGAACAGGATTATGGTGCCAAAAGAGACCTGCAGTGATGGATTTTCCCTCACTGGAGGAAAAGAGTGAAGCTGGGAGCTGAAAGATAACTCTGCAGCTTCAGCAGTGAAGGATCCACATCCACATGTGGTGCAAGAGCACTTCCATGGGACCCTGCCAGCAGAACACTGGTGTTACAGCCTGGACACAGGCCAGCACTGCCTGCTCATGACCCTCAGAGAGCAAATCCACCCTTCACCAGACCCTGACCTCAAACACCTCCACCATTCCTGCCTCCCTCACAAAATGACAAAGCATCAGTAGGACAGACAGTGAGGAGTTTTCCTCCTTCCAAACAGCCCAGATCCCAAACCAGAGAGAGCTGAAAGCAAAACTGCAGGACTGGGCCTCTTGCAGAGCCATCACACCCCAGCCATAGTGCTGAGCAGAGGCACCAGCACCAAAAGGAATAAATGAAACTCTCATCATCTGTCCCAGTGCTGCGACCTGTCACTGGCAGCTGAACAGCTGGGTATGAAACCCAAACCACAACCTGCCAGCACAGGCAGAGGTGATGCAAGACCCAGACCTGTCCCTCAGGCAATGCCAGCAGCCACAGCTGGCTTCACTGCTGGAGCCCTCCGAGAAAACCACAGCAGCTCAGAGTGAGGAACATTGTTGTCATCATTTTGCAAAGCTCCCATACCTGCTCAGTGATTTCTCACGTACAACTCCTCACAACACCTTCTCAGTGATTTCTCGTGGATATCTCCTCACAGCACTGACTCCTTCTTCACAGCACAACCAACAAACTCCATCTCTCTTCTCAGCCAAAAACTCCAGCTCCCTCCTTACCCAGCTAACCCACCCTTTTGTAGCACTCATCTTCTTATTGGACACAGCTGTGGTCTGTTCCTAATCTTTGGTGATTAGTGCAGCTGCAACTCCTCAGGGGTGAGATTGCCTTCTGCACTATCTTTATTTTCTTACATTCTATCCCTCCACAAAACATGACATGGGGCCACTGAGGCAGAGAGCTGGAGAGAGCTATGAAACCTCTACAGCAAGGAAGGAATGAATAAAAGCCAGCATTTCCAATGCATTATCACAGGTCTGCTGTCCCAGGGAGGTCACAAAGGCACAAAGAACCAAAGCCACAGCAGGGTTGGGCAAATGCAGTGACAATGCCCAGGCAGGGCCACCACTGTCCATGCTCTGTTTGCAAACAGGAGCAAAACACACACACAATGACAAAAAGGGCAGAAAAGGCTTGCTCAGAAACAGGGACATGACTTTGGGGAGATTCTCCACCAGACAAGACGAAGTCCTTGCCTTCCACCCACAAACCAGGCAAGGATTCATTGTCTCTTGTAGAGGGTGCTGGAAACCGGAGCAGCATTCTCTGACAGAGATGCTCAGCTGGCCAGGATTCCCAAGCACCCTCCTCTGCCATGCCAAAGGATCAGGGAGATCACACCAGCTGTGCTACCTTGCAGAGCACCAACCCCAAAGGCTGCTCTAGCTCTCCTGCAAGAGATATTTTCACTCCTCTGCAGAGAAGCACTCTCTGGCTCCCCAGAGCTCACAGGTTCTCCCCCATGCTGTGCTGAGGCTAATGGTTATTGACTTTTAGACATATTTTTTCCTCCTCCCTTCAGATTTTGTAGCAGCAGCACTTTCATCCACTTGGAAATGGTGCAATTAAACCAATTTGGGAACGATTTGCAGGTCTGTTCTGCAGGAAGCACTAAGCAAAGCTGTGCTTCCCAGCATTTTGGGAAAAGATTCATACACTCCTGTAGCTCTGAATGCATGCCCTCAAGCAGGGAAAGTGAAGAGATTCACACTGACATGAAAATCCCTGTGACAGACTCCTCTAAAACCAAGGAGAGGCACACCCAGAAGGCAAGGAAGTGTTTCACACCTCCTGCAAGTAGGAAGTGTGAGAAGGAAAGAGATGAAAACTGCCTTCCTTCACCCAAACCTCAGTCACAACTCCCATCCTGGCACTCACACACCCACTCCTGATGCCATCCAAGGTAACACTGGTGTCACACAGGGCTCTGGGCACCTCAGAGCTGTGTCGGGGATGGCAATGCTTTAGAGCCCGACACCACAGCAAGGGCAGCCCATGGGTGACACCACAGATGCCTTCACACCACCTGGAGCTCACAGGCAGCCAGACAGAACCCACCAGGGCCATACCTTCCTCCACGTCATTCCTCAGGGAAGCCTCCAGCAGAGCAACGCTGGCCTCAAAAGACACTTTCTTTCTGTTCACAGCATTTCTCTTCTTCTCATGCTTCCTCTTCTTGTGCTGCATCTCCTTCTCGTACTGAGCCCATTTTTTCAGCTGCTGGGCCCTGCGTTTCTGGGCTGCCCTCAGCCTCTCCAGCGTGGGCACCTTGTCCAGCAGCTGCAGCTCGGTCAGCAGGTCCACGTGGGCATCCATGGCTCCTGCCCAGGCAGGGGACGGGGAGGATGGCCCAGGGGGAAGGGATGTCCCAGCACAGCTCCTCTGGATGGCAGCCTCCTGCTGCTATACCAGCATGCTGAGGCTGAGATGGGGAGGGCCCATGGCAGGGTCCGGTGGGAAGGTGGTGGGAACCTGAAAGGAGGAGAAAAGCAGAGAGATCAGGTGACAGCAAGCACACTGCTGGAAAACACAACAGGCAAAACACCTACCACCTCAAAAGGCAGCTAACTGTGCTTTAATTGCTCTAATTGCTTTAATTGTTCTTACCAGCATTGGTGATTTCCCTCTTCCCCCACGCCAAACATCACAGCAAAACTCTCTTGATTAAGCAGAGGTTCCACTGTGCAGCTTGTTCATGTCTATTGCTCACATTAACCCTCTCCTATGACCAGAATAAAGTCTTAATGAGCAAAGACCTTCCACATGTTGGATACCATTTGTCAGAGAGCTTGGGAGCAGTTTGAGTACTGAGACTCCCACCCATCCTTCCTTGGGCTAGTCCTCTGTCACAGACATATTTTATGAAAAATCCTTTTGCTAGGATTTTTTCTCCTGAGAAGCTGAGAGGACTCAGATACAAAATGTAAGCAATGGTTATCTGCTGCTGTGGAATGCAACAGGTGCATCTGTGATTGGTCTCATGTCCTTGTTTCTAATTAATGGCCAGTCACAGCCCAGCTGTCTTGGACTCTCTGGTCAGTCACAAGATTTTATTATCATTCCTTCTTTTTCCTTGCTAGTCTTCTGATGAAATCCTTTCTTCTTTTCTTTTAGTATAGTTTTAATACATCATTTTCTCTTAATATAATGTATATCATAAAAAAATAAATCAGCTTTCTGAAACATGGGGTGAAGATTCTCATCTCTTCCCTCATCCTGGGACCCCTGTGAACTCCACCACATTTGACGACCCCAAGTGAAGACAAATCCCACATTTGGTGAGCCCCCAGAGGAACACGACAGATGCCATGAAGCCAGACAGGTTTGCCCAGAGGAACTCTCCCCACCAGGAGCATCATCTGTGCTGCCCTGCCTCATCCACGCAGCCCCAGCTGAGGACAGATGGACAGACCTGGCTCTCAGGTGTTAATAACACTTAAACCACCTCAGATCTAAAAAACATGGGGATTGTGCTCTTTTCTCTCTTCCTTCAGGTTTTCTCCTCACCACACACTAAATCACTCTGGTTTTGCCGTTCAGGGTCCACAAGCAATGAGAGCAGACAAGTTCACAGCTCCTGATCCTCAGTGTGACCACAACAGAAACCTCTGAGCAGGGCCACCCACAGTGACCAACCATCACCTGCTGCACAGGAGGAGGAAACACAGCCCACATTTCAGGAGATGTGCATTTGAAATAAAGCTGAAATCACAAGCAAATTGAATTTATCCTTTCCAATCAGACCTGTGCAAAGCACATTGAATGGCTCATGCAAAATCCAGATAAGCAGCAAATAATCAGGTATGAGATGAGAGCTTGTGTGGTTCAACCAGATTGGAGGGGACAAAGAAAAAAGAAAAATAAAGTGTTGATGGGAAACAGTGACTGAAGGACTGAAGTGTTGACAAACACCTGAGAAAGCCTCAATAAAACAGCTGAAGCTCAGCCCTGCTGCTGCAAAAGAAGAAGCAACAGCTTTGTAAGCACTGGATGCAGAGATTCTATGGGAAAAGGAGCAGAGGAGAGGCAGCTGAGAGCCAGGGTGAGGACACCAAACCTCACCCAGCTGAGAGCCAGGGTGAGGACACCAAACCTCACCCAGCTACCATGGTGAGGATATCAAACCTAACTTAGCTGCCATGGTGAGGACATCAAACTTCACCCAGCTGAGATGATGAGGGCACCAAACCTTCCCCAGCTGTCATGGTGAGGACACCAAACCTCACCTAGCTGAGAGCCATGGTGAGGATATCAAACCTCACCCATCCAGGTAAGGACACCAAACTTTCCCCAGCTACCATGGTGAGGACACCAAACCTTCCCCAGCTAACAGCCAGGGTTAGGACACCAAACCTTCCCCAGAAGCCAAGGTGAGGACACCAAACCTCACCCACCCAGGGAAGGCAGGAAAAGCCCCAGCTCATCCCTGCCAGAGGGTGAAGCAGCCCATCAAGGAGACTCAGGGGGGATGCAGGGCAGTGTCCACAGCACACAGCACACCCACCACATCCCAGGGAATCCTGGCTGAGGCATCCACACCTACTAAACACTGCTCCAGACCTTCCACGGGGCTTTGACCTTCCCTATAAATATCTGGGCAGACTGAGAGCGAGACAGGCCATTTCCTCCAACAGATAATTGGTTTGGGAACTGAAAACAAACAAACTCAGCCAGAGCACACAGGCAGGTCCAGGCAGCTGCTTTATCCAGCAAAATGGTCAAGGACAGCTTCAGCAGCACCTGCAAACCTTATTCTGGAAACTTCAGGATAGACTTGAACAGAAAAAAAAAAAACAAAACCTGCTTAATCCCACAGGAATTGAAGAATGCAAAAAAAAAAAATGCTTTAGTTCCACAAGGAACAAAAAAACCCCCAAATCCTTGCAAAGCGTTTCATAAGGGAGCTACTAACTCAAAATTCAAATTCAATTCACTTGTTTGAGATGGAAAATACCAACTTGTGGCACTGGAAAGCAAGGGGAGGGTGCCATGGAGCCATGTGAAAAGCACTCACAGCTCTCCCTGACCCCTGCCCATAGCCCCCACAGGCTGGGACTCACCACAATCCCCAAAAACCCCGCAGAAAATGCATGACTGCACTTGCCAAGCAGCCTTTCCTTTGGGACAGACATTTCCCCACGCAGGCACTCAGCTGGAAAGCTCTTCAGCACCTCTGGTGAACTCAGCTGCTGCCCCTGGCAAGCATTCCTGGGCAGTATCTCTGCTGGCAATCTCAGCCTCTGCTGCTGCTGCAGCACAGCCTGCAGATCTGAAGGCCCAGCCACAATACCTCGAAGGAGGGGAGATAAGGGCAGGAAATGCCTCTCAGGATACTGCACAGGCACTCCCACCTCGCTCCTTTTCCAGGCCACTTCTGCCATTGTTTGCTCAGAGATGAACAAATATTTTCCAAAACATACCTGGAGTAGAAACGGGGACCTCGTTCTGCAGGATTGCTAAAGCAGGAAACTTTATTTCAGAGTTTCACAAGAGAGGCTGGAAGTTTTCCTGTGGGTTTGGGACTGCACCTCGGAAAGTGCAATTTATAAGTAAAGGACAAGTGTGCCATGTTACAGCTTTCCTGCATGCAGCTTATTCCTCCACTAGCTCTCACAACAGCAGAAATGGGAGATTCAGGTGGTCTGCAAAGGGGATTGGAATGGAGAGGGGAGATCCACAGATATAAAGACACATCTAGAATGCCAGCATGCCTTCAACTCAACCAGAAAACAAACCTCTAAAGGAGCTAAAAGGTCACCCTGAGAGCTCTTCCTGAAGTGGACACAGCTCAATCTCTCCCAGACATAATTCCCTATCACTCTCACAGATCCCAGAGCCCCAAAAAAGACTCTGCCCCCATATCTGCCTGCTTTCCAGTGCCCTGGTTCCTTCCCTGCTCCTAAAGAAATGGCACATTGACTTGTGGCACAAACAGGTCAGGCTAACTATAGCACAGGTTGAGGCCCCAGCACTTGTTTACCTGCAAAGTGACACAGAAGTGGCTGTGTGGGTGTCTGTGGCTTGCAAGGCATCACACTTTGGGTTCTGTTTTATTTAAAGAAGCAGAGGGGGCAGGAAGAAAAGCACTTTCCTCGTGTGGGACCGAGCTGAGCAGTTTCCATGAGCTCAGCACAAGTGGTGCCACCACTCTGAGCACATCCTGCCCCACACACACACAGACAGAGCCCCTGGCCCTGTGGGACAATGGGGCCACTGCAGGGGCCAAAAGGAAGGCAAGGCACTGCTGCCATCCCCCTCCTGCCAGCACTGCACCAGGGAAAGGCTCCTCTGACCAAAACTGGCTCCTGAGAAGGGCACACAAGTGTTGGCCAACACCATCGTGGGGTTTTTTGATAAATTTGCATTTCCTGTGCGTTCTGTATCATCTGACTCAGCCCAAGAGGATTCTCAAGGCAAGGTTACTCACTGCCAGTGCAGGAAGAGACAGCAGTTCTGTGAAGTGGGGGTTCACTGAGTCAGGGCTGCAGACTGTGCCACCAACACACAAACTCCTTCCCATTTCACTCTCTGAGCTTGGAACCTGCCTCCCTCAAAGGTCAGAACCAAAGGTTCTCATTTCCTCCACCAGCACACACTCAGAGCTGCCCCCTGACCTTCCTATTAAGCATTCAACTCGCAGACAGTTTGCCCCAACACTGCTGAGGCTGGAGCTGGGTCTGCTAAAGCATCCACGAGGCTGGAGAGGCTCCTCAACTCCCCATCTGCTGATGGAGCTGGAGCTGAGACCTGCAAATGCTCTGTCACATCTTCCCAAGGCAGCACTTAGAGCACAGCATGACACTGATGCAGAACACAAACACTCACAGAAGCCCTTCACTTAAGTGTCATCAACTGATTTCAGTTTTATTCCACTTTAAAAAAACACAAAAAAACACCCACAAACCATGGAAGAGCAATGGTACACTTTGAAGTGAAAGACTGGAGAATTTTTTAAAGTTTTCAAGCAAAGGGAAAGCAGAAAACTTTCAGGGCATAAAGAGATTGTTTCCAGCCACTGGATTCCTTGTGGTGAGGCACCTGCAGGATTGGGCTGGATGGTCAGGTGAGGTGTCTGCAGCACAAAGTCCAGCCAGGGGCATGAGCAGACAGAAATAGCCCTCTCCTCCCCACACCAGGCTAATCTCTCCTCTGGAATTGGAAACCCAGCACCAAAGCCTCCAGCAGGGATCTGAGTGCATGAGCAGCCAGCAGAGGAGGTGGTGCCTGATTTATTTATTTATTTCATGAACATCAACACCTGCACCATGGAAGGTGAGCAGTTGCCAAATTCACCTTTTCTGCTCCATGCAAGGAACAAGGCCAATCTGTGTGCTCCTGTCCCATGAAATACAAGGTGACCAGCCCTGATTTATTTATTTCATTAACATCAATTCCTGCACCACGGCAAGGTGAGCAGCTGCCAAATTCACCTTTTCTGCTCCCTGTGAGGACCAAGGATCTGTGTGTTCAAA